TGGTGGAAAAAGGCATGCTTTTATTGCATTTCAGCTGTACATGTAGAATATGGCCATCGGGCGTGTTCCATGTGATGCGAAATATTTGTGCGAAGGGATATGTTTGCTTGAAATCATTTACAGGTGCAAATGGATGTTAAAGCTAGGTTTTCGGGTTAGAATTTGACCATTTTGGAGTTGGGCATGCGAGATTGAATAGTCGGAGAATTTGGTTTTCAGGGTGTTGCTTGGTGAATTTCGATGCCCTGGGCGACCAACATTGATAGATCTACAATGCTCAGAGGGCCATGATAAGTGCTGTGTCTCTTTGAATTTGACTTTACATAAAACCTTTATGAAAATTGTGCATGCTAATTGGATTTTATACTGTGCAGGATTGAAAAAAACATAGCACATTTTGGTGTCTGGCAAGAACATAATCTGTTGTATTTTTGCCTTATATGAAGCATGAAGCCATATATACTTAAACTGTATGCCAATTTGTTGAATATTTCTTTCATATTAGATGTTATAAGGACATATTTGAACATTTTGATTGTATAGATGGTATAAGAACCAGATTGTGTACACTTTACATTGGGAATACTTTCTTATTCTACATGTACTGAAAAAGGCTTGCCGAGGGCTGAAAATGGGATGAACAGCATAGTTCATTTAAGGCATAGACAATGAAAAAACAAACAATTCCCAGCAAAGATTTTCATTTTGTTTATTGAAATATGCATATATTTGTAGAAAAAGTCCATATAAAGGTCATCAATCAATGTTATGATGCCCCTTAAGGTAGCACACCACAGTAATGTAAGCCACAGCTTCGAATGGCCAGGGAGGATTTCTTGGATATGGTGAATATTCTGGATTTAAATGACTGGTTGTCTTTAAAATGCATTTTCAGCATAAAATTTGTTTTTGTGACATCTAATATGATCACTGGCAAATTCGAAAACATGGCCAGAAATCACATGCTGTTGATTATGAATGTCAAGGCCGCCATTTTTTGTAAACATTGCTTTTATACAGCATGCACGGTAAAAAGAAGTCATTTTACAGGGGGGTACAAACTTTTAGCAGTAGCAAAAAATCTACCTGGTTGAGGACTAGTTTCTTTGTGATATTTTGCATGTATAGGGAGTTGCTAAAGCAGAGACGGTGTTCCTTTTGCCTGTATATTTGCAGATATTTTTTGCCAGAGGGTCGAAATGTGTTGTTTTGGGTCTCGGGCCACTGTAGATTTTGGGCTTCAACGGAATGAATTGCAAATTTTTTGACTGCCTGCCTATTGCAGATGGGATAATTTCTTTGTAGATTTGCAATCTTATGTCATATATGTTCTCAACAAAATGTGTTTTCTTTTTCCAGGTTGTGTAGTTTGGTATCAGAATTATTAGACGTATTGCTTGTAGGACATTGACGGCAGGAACTTGAAATTAACTGTGGAGTGCTACCTTAAGGTAAAATGATTTTTTTTCAAACCTTGTTTTTTCGCATTTAACTTTGTGTAAAGGCTTTACCATGCACACTGACCAAAATGATGGTGAAATTTCATAAAAATATTTGTCACAGAGCTTGAAAGTTAGGTTTAAAAAGGGGAGGTAACTCAAATACATGAAAACCTAAATGTGAAATGTATGAAAGGTGCTGTGTCTGCCATGTGTCTTAAGTCATAATGACTACTTATTCCAGGAGAGACAGCTGTGGGAGAGTGAAAATATTCACATATAGAGCTATTCGGTTGATATTTTCCTGATTTTCCAAACTTTTTTGGTGGAAAAAGGCATGTTTTTATTGCATTTCAGCTGTACATGTAGAATATGGCCATCGGGCGTGTTCCATGTGATGCGAAATATTTGTGCGAAGGGATATGTTTGCTTGAAATCATTTACAGGTGCAAATGGATGTTAAAGCTAGGTTTTCGGGTTAGATTTTGACCATTTTGGAGTTGGGCATGCGAGATTGAATAGTCGGAGAATTTGGTTTTCAGGGTGTCGCTTGGTGAATTTCGATGCCCTGGGCGACCAACATTGATAGATCTACAATGCTCAGAGGGCCATGATAAGTGCTGTGTCTCTTTGAATTTGACTTTACATAAAACCTTTATGAAAATTGTGCATGCTACTTGGACTTTATACTGTGCAGGATTGAAAAAAACATAGCACATTTTGGTGTCTGGCAAGAACATAATCTGTTGTATTTTTGCCTTATATGAAGCATGAAGCCATATATTCTTAAACTGTATGCCAATTTGTTGAATATTTCTTTCATATTAGATGTTATAAGGACATATTTGAACATTTTGATTGTATAGATGGTATAAGAACCAGATTGTGTACACTTTACATTGGGAATACTTTCTTATTCTACATGTACTGAAAAAGGCTTGCCGAGGGCTGAAAATGGGATGAACAGCATAGTTCATTTAAGGCATAGATAATGAAAAAACAAACAATTCCCAGCAAAAATTTTCATTTTGTTTATTGAAATATGCATGAATTTGTAGAAAAAGTCCATATAAAGGTCATCAATCAATGTTATGATGCCCCTTAAGGTAGCACACCACAGTAATGTAAGCCACAGCTTCGAATGGCCAGGGAGGATTTCTTGGATATAGTGAATATTCTGGATTTAAATGACTGGTTGTCTTTAAAATGCATTTTCAGCATAAAATTTGTTTTTGTGACATCTAATATGATCACTGGCAAATTCGAAAACATGGCCAGAAATCACATGCTGTTGATTATGAATGTCAAGGCCGCCATTTTTTGTAAACATTGCTTTTATACAGCATGCACGGTAAAAAGAAGTCATTTTACAGGGGGGTACAAACTTTTAGCAGTAGCAAAAAATCTACAAGGTTGAGGACTAGTTTCTTTGTGATATTTTGCATGTATAGGGAGTTGCTAAAGCAGAGACGGTGTTCCTTTAGCCTGTATATTTGCAGATATTTTTTACCAGAGGGTTGAAATGTGTTGTTTTGGGTCTCGGGCCACTGTAGATTTTGGGCTTCAACGGAATGAATTGCAAATTTTTTGACTGCCTGCCTATTGCAGATGGGATAATTTCTTTGTAGATTTGCAATCTTATGTCATATATGTTCTCAACAAAATGTGTTTTCCTTTTCCAGGTTGTGTAGTTTGGTATCAGAATTATTAGACGTATTGCTTGTAGGACATTGACAGCAGGAACTTGAAATTAACTGTGGAGTGCTACCTTAAGGTAAAATGATTTTTTTTCAAACCTTGTTTTTTCGCATTTAACTTTGTGTAAAGGCACTACCATGCACACTGACCAAAATGATGGTGGAATTTCATAAAAATATTTGTCACAGAGCTTGAAAGTTAGGTTTAAAAAGGGGAGGTAACTCAAATACATGAAAACCTAAATGTGAAATGTATGAAAGGTGCTGTGTCTGCCATGTGTCTTAAGTCATAATGACTACTTATTCCAGGAGAGACAGCTGTGGGAGAGTGAAAATATTCACATATAAAGCTATTCGGTTGATATTTTCCTGATTTTCCAAACTTTTTTGGTGGAAAAAGGCATGTTTTTATTGCATTTCAGCTGTACATGTAGAATATGGCCATCGGGCGTGTTCCATGTGATGCGAAATATTTGTGCGAAGGGATATGTTTGCTTGAAATCATTTACAGGTGAAAATGGATGTTAAAGCTAGGTTTTCGGGTTAGATTTTGACCATTTTGGAGTTAGGCATGCGAGATTGAATAGTCGGAGAATTTGGTTTTCAGGGTGTCGCTTGGTGAATTTCGATGCCCTGGGCGACCAACATTGATAGATCTACAATGCTCAGAGGGCCATGATAAGTGCTGTGTCTCTTTGAATTTGACTTTACATAAAACCTTTATGAAAATTGTGCATGCTAATTGGACTTTATACTGTGCAGGATTGAAAAAAACATAGCACATTTTGGTGTCTGGCAAGAACATAATCTGTTGTATTTTTGCCTTATATGAAGCATGAAGCCATATATTCTTAAACTGTATGCCAATTTGTTGAATATTTCTTTCATATTAGATGTTATAAGGACATATTTGAACATTTTGATTGTATAGATGGTATAAGAACCAGATTGTGTACACTTTACATTGGGAATACTTTCTTATTCTACATGTACTGAAAAAGGCTTGCCGAGGGCTGAAAATGGGATGAACAGCATAGTTCATTTAAGGCATAGATAATGAAAAAACAAACAATTCCCAGCAAAAATTTTCATTTTGTTTATTGAAATATGCATGAATTTGTAGAAAAAGTCCATATAAAGGTCATCAATCAATGTTATGATGCCCCTTAAGGTAGCACACCACAGTAATGTAAGCCACAGCTTCGAATGGCCAGGGAGGATTTCTTGGATATAGTGAATATTCTGGATTTAAATGACTGGTTGTCTTTAAAATGCATTTTCAGCATAAAATTTGTTTTTGTGACATCTAATATGATCACTGGCAAATTCGAAAACATGGCCAGAAATCACATGCTGTTGATTATGAATGTCAAGGCCGCCATTTTTTGTAAACATTGCTTTTATACAGCATGCACGGTAAAAAGAAGTCATTTTACAGGGGGGTACAAACTTTTAGCAGTAGCAAAAAATCTACCTGGTTGAGGACTAGTTTCTTTGTGATATTTTGCATGTATAGGGAGTTGCTAAAGCAGAGACGGTGTTCCTTTTGCCTGTATATTTGCAGATATTTTTTGCCAGAGGGTCGAAATGTGTTGTTTTGGGTCTCGGGCCACTGTAGATTTTGGGCTTCAACGGAATGAATTGCAAATTTTTTGACTGCCTGCCTATTGCAGATGGGATAATTTCTTTGTAGATTTGCAATCTTATGTCATATATGTTCTCAACAAAATGTGTTTTCATTTTCCAGGTTGTGTAGTTTGGTATCAGAATTATTAGACGTATTGCTTGTAGGACATTGACGGCAGGAACTTGAAATTAACTGTGGAGTGCTACCTTAAGGTAAAATGATTTTTTTTCAAACCTTGTTTTTTCGCATTTAACTTTGTGTAAAGGCTTTACCATGCACACTGCACCACCAAAATGATGGTGAAATTTCATAAAAATATTTGTAGAAACATGTTATGCATTCACTGAATGCAAATATGGCATCATCGGTTAATTGGTGAAAATGTGCAAGATGATTTGTGAAATTTAGTGAAATGGTGTTGCTGTTTGTTAATTTGACATTTTGGAGATGGCTGGAAATTAATAGTATTTGGTTTTCAGTTCACTTTGGGAGAATTTATCCCTGCGACAAATTATAGATCTACAATGTAGAAGGGCAGAAGTTGTGTCTTTGAATTGATTTAATAACGTTAGAATTGTGCATTTAGTTGGATTTATATGGAAGGTTAAAGTGCCTTTTGTCTGGCAGAACATAATCTGTTGTTTTTTGCCTATATAAGCATGAAGACCATATACTTTTAAATGTATGCAACTTTGTTGAGAATTTTAAATGATTGATGTTAAATAAATCATATTTCTTTTGATTAACATGGTATCAAACAGAATTTGTGAACTTTAGATTGGATTGAAATTTTATTATTAACAGATTGAAAAGGCTTTCTATGCTGAAAATGGGATGAACAGCATAGTTCATTTAAGGCATAGATAATGAAAAAACAAACAATTCCCAGCAAAAATTTTCATTTTGTTTATTGAAATATGCATGAATTTGTAGAAAAAGTCCATATAAAGGTCATCAATCAATGTTATGATGCCCCTTAAGGTAGCACACCACAGTAATGTAAGCCACAGCTTCGAATGGCCAGGGAGGATTTCTTGGATATAGTGAATATTCTGGATTTAAATGACTGGTTGTCTTTAAAATGCATTTTCAGCATAAAATTTGTTTTTGTGACATCTAATATGATCACTGGCAAATTCGAAAACATGGCCAGAAATCACATGCTGTTGATTATGAATGTCAAGGCCGCCATTTTTTGTAAACATTGCTTTTATACAGCATGCACGGTAAAAAGAAGTCATTTTACAGGGGGGTACAAACTTTTAGCAGTAGCAAAAAATCTACCTGGTTGAGGACTAGTTTCTTTGTGATATTTTGCATGTATAGGGAGTTGCTAAAGCAGAGACGGTGTTCCTTTTGCCTGTATATTTGCAGATATTTTTTGCCAGAGGGTCGAAATGTGTTGTTTTGGGTCTCGGGCCACTGTAGATTTTGGGCTTCAACGGAATGAATTGCAAATTTTTTGACTGCCTGCCTATTGCAGATGGGATAATTTCTTTGTAGATTTGCAATCTTATGTCATATATGTTCTCAACAAAATGTGTTTTTTTTTTCCAGGTTGTGTAGTTTGGTATCAGAATTATTAGACGTATTGCTTGTAGGACATTGACGGCAGGAACTTGAAATTAACTGTGGAGTGCTACCTTAAGGTAAAATGATTTTTTTTCAAACCTTGTTTTTTCGCATTTAACTTTGTGTAAAGGCTTTACCATGCACACTGACCAAAATGATGGTGAAATTTCATAAAAAATATTTGTCACAGAGCTTGAAAGTTAGGTTTAAAAAGGGGAGGTAACTCAAATACATGAAAACCTAAATGTGAAATGTATGAAAGGTGCTGTGTCTGCCATGTGTCTTAAGTCATAATGACTACTTATTCCAGGAGAGACAGCTGTGGGAGAGTGAAAATATTCACATATAGAGCTATTCGGTTGATATTTTCCTGATTTCCCTTACTTTTTTTGGTGGAAAAAGGCATGTTTCATTGAATTTCAGCTGTACATGTAGAATATGGCCATCGGGCGTGTTCCATGTGATGCGAAATATTTGTGCGAAGGGATATGTTTGCTTGAAATCATTTACAGGTGCAAATGGATGTTAAAGCTAGGTTTTCGGGTTAGATTTTGACCATTTTGGAGTTGGGCATGCGAGATTGAATAGTCGGAGAATTTGGTTTTCAGGGTGTCGCTTGGTGAATTTCGATGCCCTGGGCGACCAACATTGATAGATCTACAATGCTCAGAGGGCCATGATAAGTGCTGTGTCTCTTTGAATTTGACTTTACATAAAACCTTTATGAAAATTGTGCATGCTAATTGGATACTTTATACTGTGCAGGATTGAAAAAAACATAGCACATTTTGGTGTCTGGCAAGAACTGTTGTATTTTGCTTATGGCATGAGCAATACTTAAACTGTTGTTATATTTCTTTTTTAGAATGAACATTTTGATTGTAGTTATCTTATTCTACATGTACATGAAAAAGGCTTGCCGAGGGCTGAAAATGGGATGAACAGCATAGTTCATTTAAGGCATAGATAATGAAAAAACAAACAATTCCCAGCAAAAATTTTCATTTTGTTTATTGAAATATGCATGAATTTGTAGAAAAAGTCCATATAAAGGTCATCAATCAATGTTATGATGCCCCTTAAGGTAGCACACCACAGTAATGTAAGCCACAGCTTCGAATGGCCAGGGAGGATTTCTTGGATATAGTGAATATTCTGGATTTAAATGACTGGTTGTCTTTAAAATGCATTTTCAGCATAAAATTTGTTTTTGTGACATCTAATATGATCACTGGCAAATTCGAAAACATGGCCAGAAATCACATGCTGTTGATTATGAATGTCAAGGCCGCCATTTTTTGTAAACATTGCTTTTATACAGCATGCACGGTAAAAAGAAGTCATTTTACAGGGGGGTACAAACTTTTAGCAGTAGCAAAAAATCCTACCTGGTTGAGGACTAGTTTCTTTGTGATATTTTGCATGTATAGGGAGTTGCTAAAGCAGAGACGGTGTTCCTTTAGCCTGTATATTTGCAGATATTTTTTGCCAGAGGGTCGAAATGTGTTGTTTTGGGTCTCGGGCCACTGTAGATTTTGGGCTTCAACGGAATGAATTGCAAATTTTTTGACTGCCTGCCTATTGCAGATGGGATAATTTCTTTGTAGATTTGCAATCTTATGTCATATATGTTCTCAACAAAATGTGTTTTCTTTTTCCAGGTTGTGTAGTTTGGTATCAGAATTATTAGACGTATTGCTTGTAGGACATTGACGGCAGGAACTTGAAATTAACTGTGGAGTGCTACCTTAAGGTAAAATGATTTTTTTTCAAACCTTGTTTCTTCGCATTTAACTTTGTGTAAAGGCTTTACCATGCACACTGACCAAAATGATGGTGAAATTTCATAAAAATATTTGTCACAGAGCTTGAAAGTTAGGTTTAAAAAAGGGGAGGTAACTCAAATACATGAAAACCTAAATGTGAAATGTATGAAAGGTGCTGTGTCTGCCATGTGTCTTAAGTCATAATGACTACTTATTCCAGGAGAGACAGCTGTGGGAGAGTGAAAATATTCACATATAGAGCTATTCGGTTGATATTTTCCTGATTTTCCAAACTCTTTTGGTGGAAAAAGGCATGTTTTTATTGCATTTCAGCTGTACATGTAGAATATGGCCATCGGGCGTGTTCCATGTGATGCGAAATATTTGTGCGAAGGGATATGTTTGCTTGAAATCATTTACAGGTGCAAATGGATGTTAAGGCTAGGTTTTCGGGTTAGATTTTGACCATTTTGGAGTTGGGCATGCGAGATTGAATAGTCGGAGAATTTGGTTTTCAGGGTGTCGCTTGGTGAATTTCGATGCCCTGGGCGACCAACATTGATAGATCTACAATGCTCAGAGGGCCATGATAAGTGCTGTGTCTCTTTGAATTTGACTTTACATAAAACCTTTATGAAAATTGTGCATGCTACTTGGACTTTATACTGTGCAGGATTGAAAAAAACATAGCACATTTTGGTGTCTGGCAAGAACATAATCTGTTGTATTTTTTTAGAATACTTTCTTATTCTACATGTACTGAAAAAGGCTTGCCGAGGGCTGAAAATGGGATGAACAGCATAGTTCATTTAAGGCATAGATAATGAAAAAACAAACAATTCCCAGCAAAAATTTTCATTTTGTTTATTGAAATATGCATGAATTTGTAGAAAAAGTCCATATAAAGGTCATCAATCAATGTTATGATGCCCCTTAAGGTAGCACACCACAGTAATGTAAGCCACAGCTTCGAATGGCCAGGGAGGATTTCTTGGATATAGTGAATATTCTGGATTTAAATGACTGGTTGTCTTTAAAATGCATTTTCAGCATAAAATTTGTTTTTGTGACATCTAATATGATCACTGGCAAATTCGAAAACATGGCCAGAAATCACATGCTGTTGATTATGAATGTCAAGGCCGCCATTTTTTTGTAAACATTGCTTTTATACAGCATGCACGGTAAAAAGAAGTCATTTTACAGGGGGGTACAAACTTTTAGCAGTAGCAAAAAATCTACCTGGTTGAGGACTAGTTTCTTTGTGATATTTTGCATGTATAGGGAGTTGCTAAAGCAGAGACGGTGTTCCTTTAGCCTGTATATTTGCAGATATTTTTTGCCAGAGGGTCGAAATGTGTTGTTTTGGGTCTCGGGCCACTGTAGATTTTGGGCTTCAACGGAATGAATTGCAAATTTTTTTGACTGCCTGCCTATTGCAGATGGGATAATTTCTTTGTAGATTTGCAATCTTATGTCATATATGTTCTCAACAAAATGTGTTTTCTTTTTCCAGGTTGTGTAGTTTGGTATCAGAATTATTAGACGTATTGCTTGTAGGACATTGACGGCAGGAACTTGAAATTAACTGTGGAGTGCTACCTTAAGGTAAAATGATTTTTTTTTCAAACCTTGTTTTTTCGCATTTAACTTTGTGTAAAGGCTTTACCATGCACACTGACCAAAATGATGGTGAAATTTCATAAAAATATTTGTCACAGAGCTTGAAAGTTAGGTTTAAAAAGGGGAGGTAACTCAAATACATGAAAACCTAAATGTGAAATGTATGAAAGGTGCTGTGTCTGCCATGTGTCTTAAGTCATAATGACTACTTATTCCAGGAGAGACAGCTGTGGGAGAGTGAAAATATTCACATATAGAGCTATTCGGTTGATATTTTCCTGATTTTCCAAACTCTTTTGGTGGAAAAAGGCATGTTTTTATTGCATTTCAGCTGTACATGTAGAATATGGCCATCGGGCGTGTTCCATGTGATGCGAAATATTTGTGCGAAGGGATATGTTTGCTTGAAATCATTTACAGGTGCAAATGGATGTTAAGGCTAGGTTTTCGGGTTAGATTTTGACCATTTTTGGAGTTGGGCATGCGAGATTGAATAGTCGGAGAATTTGGTTTTCAGGGTGTCGCTTGGTGAATTTCGATGCCCTGGGCGACCAACATTGATAGATCTACAATGCTCAGAGGGCCATGATAAGTGCTGTGTCTCTTTGAATTTGACTTTACATAAAACCTTTATGAAAATTGTGCATGCTACTTGGACTTTATACTGTGCAGGATTGAAAAAAACATAGCACATTTTGGTGTCTGGCAAGAACATAATCTGTTGTATTTTTTAGAATACTTTCTTATTCTACATGTACTGAAAAAGGCTTGCCGAGGGCTGAAAATGGGATGAACAGCATAGTTCATTTAAGGCAATAGATAATGAAAAAACAAACAATTCCCAGCAAAAATTTTCATTTTGTTTATTGAAATATGCATGAATTTGAGAAAAAGTCCCATATTAAAGGTCATCAATCAATGTTAATGCCCCTTAAGGTAGCACATTGGGCCACAGTAATGTAAGCCACAGCTTCGCCTATAATGGCCAGGGAGGATTTCTTGCAACTAGATATAGTGAATAATTCTGGAGCGTCATTAATCAAAAATGACATATATGCATCACTGTAACAGCTTCCACGCGTAAATACGGGCCCCTGTTCTGTAATGATTCTGGCTAACCAACATGCACATTATATCTTCAGACATATATATATTCAGTACTAGGATGCGGGCGTAGCACGTAAAAAGGCAAGCATATACAGTAGGGGTGTGTATAGGAAATTACCTTTCCCTAGTAACTTTTTTGTTGTTACTGATACAGGTGGCTTTTATTTTAATTGGTAAAAGCACTTGTTAAGTATTTTTCCTTTTATATAAAAGAGATACGCATGCACATAATTTTACATTTCTGTCTAGTGTACCTACATCTCAAAAAATCCATCACGAATTCTTTCACTTTTTTTCTAACATATCTTACGGTTTTAAATTTAGTCAAAAACTGTATTGAAATGGGCCCTGGAAATGCTAAGACGAGACAAATTGGCCGCCTGTTCACGACATGTGCAGTTACTTTGCATTTGTTCTGAAAGCTGACGAATCTTAGTTTGCAGATGATAAAATTCAGTGTCAATCATCGTATGCCTGTACTATAGCTCACTCAGTGACAATGTGAGCCTAACAAGTTAAATATTGAGAGCCATGTATGTCGCATCAAGGGTACATAGAAAATAAAGTAAAAGATCATCACGACCTGTGAGTGGTGCATGTCCAACCGTAAACCTTAATGCTGTGAATATGAGGGCAACAACATTAAAAGATCGGTGTCCGTATCTGGTACCATTGATTATTAGTTTGCACCCTGGTAGGAGCTCACTAGATTAGAAGAAAGTACATGTGACCTGGCACTATTTCACCCAGTGCCAGGCAATTTTGCAGAAGCGAGCGACATTTGTGTCATACTGTTATCAGCATGGTGAGTTTTAGTCTCATTCAATATGATTGCTATGTGAGATCAAAATCGGGTGTATATGATACGTTCTATTCTGAGAGTTACGATGCTACTGTATATGATTTAAGCGAAGCAGCTCAACTAATAGAGTGACAAAACTTTGAATAGCCACGCTTTCAGGATATTTGCAGACGACATATTTGAGGTTCATATGTGTTTCGCGATAGTTCAAGTATTCACATGTTATTTGAGATCAAGATGTGAAAGATTCGTCTGTTTCTGCGAGATATGTGAGTAAACAGCAGAACGAATATTGAATTGGCTACAATTACAGGAATTTTTGCAGACGACACATTTGTGTCATACATGTCGCGATGTTAAATGTATGCGGGACCAAATTTTTGATAATAAAGGAATCTCTGAATTGTTACTGCAGGACTATCCGTCAGTGCCAGTCTACAGAGAAAATTGACATTATTAGCGAGGGAGAAATCATCTTACCGGTCATCATCGAATAATTATCTACCAATCTCTCCCATTCTCTCTGTGGATCACCATCAACTTATCGGCATATCAATCACTCTACTATTCTGATTCATCCATATATTCACATGTTCATCAACAAATCAAATCTGGATTTCCATCTATCTCATTATACGTCATTGCATAATGGTCTAGGTTAAGTATTCTTATCGGGTCCATCATTCATCCTCAGATACCCTACAATTTCCTTAAGAATTCCCTTATCCCTGCCTATCATCACCGTATCATCATCATCTAACATGACGAAGAACTGAAATCAAATCTAATACACCTGTAATCACGGTGCTAATCATTCTAAGCGTTATACAATAAATACATATGAATCATCTCCTCAAAATATACATTCCGTCTTGTCGTCGGATATCATCTATACCTTCGATCAACATTTTCAGAGGTTATTTGCGAGATACTGTCGTGGACTGTGATAGATTACATAGCCATTATAAATTGTCTTTAAGCGTATCTATATGTTATCCATGGTGCCTGGGCCACTTTCAAGAATAAAGTTCTAGCTCTGCACTCTGAAATGGATTGCTTCGTATATATGCTATGTACGATCTTCAGAAGACTATAACGTAATAACTTTACTCAATAATATTTAACATGAATAATAAAAGTATTCGTCCATACCCATTGTTACAACAGAATATCGAATATTGTCGAGAAAAGTTTATTAGACGCGACGAAGATTCTTATAGTTAAGATAAAAATAAATGGTAAAAAGTTTCGAAAATATTATATACTTTCCTTCAGTTACAACAGTTCAGAAGGAACAGGATTAACATCCGCTCAGACCGTTTTCAATACATAGCATGAAATTGAAAACAACTTAAAATAGGGTGTGATTTAGAACTGGCGTCCTCTTTAGGGCTATGCATATCTCAAACGAAGTAGGGACATTTACGTGTGACGTAAGGTTTCCCTTTGCTGCCTGGTCATCACTCGATGTGTCGTATAAAATAGTCATGAATAAATGGGAACTTTACGTTACCGTGTCTAGCGAAACGACGAAAAAGTTTTAACGTTTTTTAACACCTTAATAATACAAACGATAAGAGCAACACTTAATTGCGCAGCACAGCAAGATATACGGCTCCCTGTTCTGTAATGATCTGCTAACCAACATGCACTTATATCATCAGAACATATATATTTCAGTTTACTAGGATGGGGCGAGGGGTGTGCTATACCGAATACCTTTCCCGTAGTAACTTTTTGTGTTACTGATACAGGGGGCTTTTATTTTATGTAAAAGCACATTGTTAAGTATTTCTTTTATATAAAAGAGATACGCATGCTTATTTTTCATTTTCTGTCTATTACATAACATCTCAAAAAAGCTTCCATCAGCGAATTTTCTTTCACTTTTTTCTAAAATATTCTTACGTGTTTTAATTTAGTCAAAACTGTATTGAAGAGGTGAAGTCTCTGAATTATGCGAACAATTTGGCCATGAATCCAATGTTCCCGAATTGCAGACTTTTATAGAGTCGCAATTTGTGTCTGAAAGCTGACTACCTCCTAGTTGATGCAGATGATAAAATATCATTCAATCATATCTCGTCTGCTGATTACTATTAGTCACTCTCTAGCTGCCAACATATTGTATGCCACATAGTAATAAATAAGAGCAGGTCTGCGACAAGGAGAAATACATAGCAAAATAAGTAAAGATCATCACGAATCCTGTGTGTCTATTTCCAATAGCTTTAATGCTGTATATGAGGGCTTCAAAACATAAACCCAAGAATTATCGGTGTCGTATCTGAATGATAAGTTCACGGCCCACCTAGGAAGAACAAGTTGACTGGCACCTATTTCACGTGCAGTCAATGTTTAGCCAGAACTTGGACACATTTGTGTTCAGATATGATTTTGGCGCCCGAAGTAAGTCCTTCTAATGCTATGTGAGATCAAAATGTGAGATGATACGTCGGTAGTTTCTGAGAGTACATGTATGTTAACGAACACTAGTCCCCATCAGCTAGTGACAAAAACTTGAATTAGCACGGCTTTCAAGGAATTTGCAGACGACATATTTGAGTGCGCTCCACACCTCGTGGTTTCGCTCGCAGTTCAAGTTATTTCACATGTTTAAATTTGGAGATCAAGATGTGAAAGAATTCGTCTGTTTCTTGCGAGTGATATGTGCCGAAGCAAGTGAGTAACAGCTCAGATGAAATGAAAATATGTAATAGGTACAATTACAAGAAATGTGTGAAGAACGACACACTTATGTGTCATAACTGAGATTTAGTCGCTGAGTTTATTGGGCAGCGAGAATAATAAGGGAATTCAATATGTTAGCTGCAGGAATATGCATAGTCGGACAGATGAAATGTACAATTAGCGGGGATCATCACCTTCATCATCATAATTAGAGGTCACCATCCTTTAGGAATCATCTCTTATCACTGACATTCCACTGGATGCATCAAATACATCACTGATCATCATCATCACCACTTGAGTCGATCCATCATCATCATTATCATCATCATAATTCATTATCATCAATGCATCAGTCAGGGTCAGATGAAATACGTCATGCG